TTTGGCATATAATGTGCTGTATTTTAGGAAAATTCACTCAACTTCCCCTACAACACGGTCTTAGATTATTTCACAACAAATGCAGTAATTATTTAATTCATTTGAGAGAAAAAGAACGAAGAGATTCTGAATTTAAATTTAAGAGGTACGGAATAAAATAAAAATGAGGGTAAAGCAAAAGCCTCGGTATCATAAAGATTAAAAAATGTGTGCTGTCAAATACCGTAACTGTTGTTAATAGCTACCAGGACAGTTCAATTCTCGCTTCATACTACTCGTTATTCGAAATAGCGGTCCATGTCCGGGAATAATGCAGTCTGCTAGGCACAGTAATCGTCTTCTCGATTCTTCTTGTTGTGTTTCATTAGCTGCTAACTGTTTCCATATCATCGAATCTTTCATGTCTTCTTTTCGTATGAATATATCACCTTCAACAAAATGACGGTAATATTTTCACGGATGAAATTTTCAGCGCTTCATTTTTTTTTTCATTCAAAAAAGAAATCTGAGAATGTTAAATAAAATGAAGATGAATGAAAATTCAATTTATCGGTTAGTACTTTTGGGAATTCTTCGATAGTTCTTATTCCCTCGTCATAATTTGATTTTCGGAATGAGGTGATTGATAATTTCAGAGTTTAAAACTAGTCAAGTAATTTCAATTTCTTCGAGAGGAAAATATGAAGAAGTCATCAATTCAATTAAATTTGAAAATTTTACTTGCTAAAGATATCAAATCTTACCGGAAACAATGACAGTACCGAAAAAACTTGTATTGTTAACAAGGACAGAGATATCATCGGATGTGTGACCCGGTGTTTTTAGCAAACAAACATTTTTTGTTAATTTTTCAACATCATCCTGAAATTCTTCTCTACTTTACAAATATTTCTTTTTTTTTTGAAAAAAAATAATTTTCTGAATATTCTATGTTTATCAAATTTTAATATTTTTGTTTTCAATAATTATTCCAAACATGCATGTATATTCTGCAACTTCAAATTTCATAACATTTCATTCTATTAACAGTTCTATTGATTAAAATGGAAAAACCTTAAAAATTCTTGAAAAATTAGAATGCCCTCCGATATGCCTAAATCGTCCGGCATAATGAAATGCATCAGGGAAATGATTAGTGTTACCGGAATGATCTAAATGACCATGAGTTGTGATCACATGATTGATTGAGGGTGGTGGAGCGTCAAGTTCACTTAATCCTGTAGTAGTAAAAAATTACTGAAATTAGAATTATCGAATTAAACATGAATATCTAACAATTTTTAAATATCTCAAAATATTCAAAAAATTTAACACATAATTAAAGAGATATATGTGAATGATAATCAATCATACTTGATTGAACTATAATAGTGTATAATTATTACAAACAAACTTTGCATAATCCAAGTACGTCCATTAATATCTGTAGAAAGTCCGGTATCCACCAGAATCCTTTCTCCGCCATCAATGATAAGTGTAACTGAAGCGACAAATTCGTAATCATTTTTATTATTCTGCACAATTGAACCCTGAAGAATAGATTAATTTCGATTAAATAATAGTATTATTAAATCATTATTAAATGTATTATTGAATCAACCATGAACATTAATTGCGATTTCATTGTCTCAAATGTTGACCTTTTACAGTTACTCTTCGAGACTCTTCGATGTTTATGATAAGCTTTTGAATTCATTGATAGTATATTTATTGTTTGTTTGATGCATTCAAATTACCTTCATTTACATGCAATCTGATATTTTTCTTGCTTTGAGTTATTTCAAAAAGATTTTTAATAAATTATCTCTTCTTTTAGTTTTTAATTTAAGACAAATTGCAGTTAAAATGAGCGATAAATCTTTTTGAGAAGATCTGATTTTTTTTTCCAGAAGAATGAACATTTTATAATTTTTGATTTAATTAAATTTTTTGTTTTTTCTTTTGATTTAATTACTTTATAAATTAATTTTTCTTCCTTTTAAATAATTTTTTTTGATTTAATTAAAATTAGAATATTAATCGTTCTAAACATTCCAATAATAATTAACTTACTTCTCTGATGATATAAATCATCGGATTCTCATCAGTGTGCATTTCGGATGTTGCGAACACAATTCCTGATAGTGTCATATCGTTATTTCCTTTTTTATGCTTACTAATAACAATTGGTGATAATATTTCATGAGGAGGATAACGACTGCTTTGTTTCAATGCTTAATTCATTTTATTTTAAATTTTTGAATATGAAATATACAAAAAGTCTGTAATGCTATTGTCTTTATAACATCATGACCTTTTTTGATCTAATTAAATACATTGGCATTTTTTTTTGTTCAAAATATTCTTATTTTAATTTACTTAAGTCATTTAAGTCTCGAGAAATTGGGTGCAAACCTTGATTTGTAGCAAGAAAATTGCTATTTTCATATATCTTTCTTGCTTCTTTCAATTCCAAACTTCTAAAAGGAACAATGATAAATTATACATGAATAAATTTCATAGTATATGTATGAAAGCTATGAAAGATATTTTAATAAGAATTAAAAAGTCCACTGATAAGCGTTAGTTAGCAAAAAAAAAAAAAATTGTTAGTAAATCGATTTTAATCAAATGGAATTTTTGCTGTTCCCTAAGCAATTAAATTTGCTATCTGTATAATAGAGGAACAAAATTGGACTTGAAATAGTTCATATGGAAGTCAAAAGATCAACGTGACAAATGATCGTTCTATTAGTTTTACAGTTTTACTTATCATTTATCTTCTCTGTCATAATCACACAGAATCTGTATTTACAAGCATACCTGGAAATCGTATGATTGTTTCCTGATCTCAAATCCGGATTCAAATGATGATAGCGAAGCTCAACGGGTTTTAAATCCGATACACTAAATGTATTTTGTTGAAATGATGATCGAATTGCTTCTCCCGATAATGAATCATTCTTAAGTTTATCATTTTCCGTCATTTCATCCTCTCTCGTAATATGATTTTTCGTTATTTTTCGTCTATCAATCATTCGCTAGAAATCAAATTATTACGATTTTCTAAAGTTTAATTGGAATTAAAAGCTTTGAAATTCGATCATACCTTACATTATTAATCGATTTACTCAAGACAACTTTTGTAGCATGAAATGGAATAAGTTAAATGTGAATTGTTTTCAATAAAAAATATTGAAATTTCAACCTGTAATAATAACGCGAGTCGTTTGAAATCAAATTGCGTTTTACCGGTAGCATTTACAATTTGTCGGAAATATGCTCCTCCTTTTAGTTTAACTATTCTTGATTTGAGTGTTGTAATTGGTGATGACGATGTTGTCGTAGCTGTTAGGGATATTCTCGACTTCGTATTCATTATCGGAATGATTTTTGATGTCAAATTGAACTGTATTAGGAAATATGTTTAAAAAAAATAAATACATAGTTATTGATTGAAGAAGTGAGCCAAAATTGTTATCAGTAGTTCATTTCAGCTATCATTTTCCTCTATTTATCACTTCCTAATTAAGCTACCAAAAAGCAAGGCGTTTAATTTTAATTAACCGGAAAGTATTACATTTTTACAAATATATATTAAGCAACAAATTAAAAATATGATTTAAAAGTTATTTTTTTATGGATCTCTTAACATTTTGAATTTTGTAACTTGTAAATTTTCTTAATATCGTTAGTTACTATTGCATTTGTTATCAGTGATACTGAGCAAGATTAAAGTCTTCCAACTTTCACCACTAATTCCATTAACCTTTCAACTTTCACCCAGAACAAGCAAGCAACTAACATCACCGCCAATTTTTACAATATTTCCATTCGATTCTGTCAAAGTATTCGCCGCTTTTGAAATGCTACTCATATCGGTGCTGTCTGATTGATCGATGAATATTTCTTCAAATGGTAACTTCGAAACAGAACCCTTTCCACGTCGAACAAAATCATGAAACAAATTCATTGTGTTCGAGCCTAAATATTTCAAATGAGCTATAACATCTAAAAAAAAAAAACTTTGCAATAACTATAATTTTAAAGGTAGTTTTATTTAGTTCCAATTTAAATTAGTCAATAATTCGATTAGCTAAGATTTTGAAAATAAATAAAAATTCTTTCATTTTCAGTTCAATTTACTTCAAGCTATGCTACATTGGCTTATTTGCAAAATATAAAAACGAATAATTAATGAGAGATAAGCTTTTTTAATAAAATTTTACATTAATTGATAATTAACAAATTTTGCTTTCTTTTAGAAGTATTAATGGAAATTTAGAAGAAAACAAAACTTACTTTTTTGTAGAAGTTTGATAATTGACAAATTTACTTTCTTTCAGAAGTATTGATAGAAATTTAAAAAAAAAACAAAGCAAAACTTTCTTTCAGAAGTGTTGATAGAAATTTAAAAAAAAAAAAAAAAACAAAACAAAACTTACTTTTTTGCAGAAGTACTGATCGAATGATAAGTAAAGAAAAAATAGCTAGAAGAGAAGTGGTAATGTGTGACATCGTTCTCTGAGAATTATGTAACTGTCATTCAAATTTCATTTTATTAAAAATAGGTTAAATCAATCTGTCAATTTGCACAGATAAGGGTGTTCGTAATTAGTTGAGCGCACTTATACATATATTTTTGTATATAATTGGTTTTTGTGCCATTAAATTGAAATTGAGGAAGGCATTTGCAATTCATTACGAATGCCTCACTTTTTTTTTTTGCTCCAAAGATTGCTGTATCGTTTTTCAACAATTAAATTTACCTTCAATTTTCCAATTACACCTTTTTCTTCTCTGATTCTTCATTTCATATAGCACAAAAAATTCATTAATTTTGTGATTTTTAATTTTTCAAATTCGTTTAAAATTTCAAATAGAGAAAATATGGGATATTTGAAATATAGTAAAAAGAATTTATTGATGTAAATTTAAAAATAAAATCAAAAAATTATTGAAAATATATACAATAAATGAAATGCAATGATAATTCTTTTGTCAGTTCGTTTCAAAATTGGTTGTTTCATTAATGACAGTTTCGTCAGTAACTCTCATATAACCATTTCTTGTAAAATATGGTATCTAAAAACCATTAAGTTAATTAATTAATCAACTAATTAATAGCGGAAAAAATAAGACAGGATTCACCATCACATCTGAAATAGTTCTGTCTGTACAATGCATAAAAGATATATAAGTTGTAAATTCATTTATCAAACAACACAAACTTTTAATACGTCTAACAAAATTTGCAAATTATTTAATTTAATTAAAACAAATTTAATTATACAAAAGTTACTTTACAGAAAAGTTGCCCGTTAAGTATAGTTTATGAAAATATACACAAGACTGGAATATATAATTTGTAAAATTTTAAGACATACAGAAGGATTTGATAGTTGCCTGTTATGTTCAATAATTCCGGAATATAGTAATGCACTGTCACCAAATAATAACAAATGTATTGAGAATAAAAATAAAATTTGAAAACAACCAGCCATCTGTTCGAGATTTCTTTTTTTTTTTAATTTAAAAATTTTCCGGAAATTTTCTTTTTTTGGTGCCAAATATGAAATATTCAAATTAGACAGTGACAATCAATGCTCATTTCATTGTTGATTTGCATAATTATGCAAAAATTAATTTTTAACAAACAATTTTAGAAGTTAGCACTAAAATAGGTATCTGGAAATGGGAGTGAATATCTTAAAAGTTAAAAAATAATAGTAACACTTGAAATATAAAATGAATTATCTGTTGTCATATCATGATCTAAATTTTTTTTTTTAAGAATTAATCGATGAAAATATTAAATCGTACGAATAAAATGACTTTACTTTTTAATCGAATTAATAGTTGGAATCATTTAGAAGTATAATGTGGCGAAATTTGAATTGTTTGAAATTTTATTTAAATTAAAATGCCTCGGAAATAGGCGGACAAAAACTATCAACTATTAAGTGCCAAATATCGACGAAGCAATATCGGAGCGAATAATGTTGCCGAAATTTCTATCAATTAAATTTATCTTCAATTTTCTAACTATATCTTTTTTCTTGTCTGATCGTTGTCTGATTAGAAATTTTAACTCTTTCATTCCAAATAACAAAATTTATTACTTCTGATTTAATAATTTCCCAAATTTATTATAATTTGGAACATAAAAAATATCGAAAATTTGCAAGGTATTTTAGGAAATTATAATATTTCTATTAATTAAATTTTTATCAATTAAATTTTTTCATCAGTTAATTTTAACAAATTTCTATTATCGTCAATTTTCCAATTAAATCTTTTTCTCTTCAGCCAGCCGTTTAACAGATCCAAAAAAATGGATATTTTTAGATGGAATAATTTGATAATCATCATATTAGAAATGTTCTTTCAAATTAGTACCTCTAGAAAGTATTTTCTGCAAAGTAACAAACAAAAAATTCCTACAACAATAATTAGAAAGTTTAGAAAATTTCTAACTCATAATTTTAATTAAAACGTTTCCAAAGTTTCTTAGAAAGATGCATCATCAAACCTAACAATGTCACATTACGAAAAAGCTAAAAAAATTGTGAAAATTTTAAAGTGCATTATAAACAAAAATGGAACATTTGAAAATTTTTTCAATAATTTTTTATTAGCAAATTTACAACTCGCAGTAATTTTTTTTTTCTTTTCAATTTTGAACAATTCAATCCGAGATGCATTTATCAGAAAATTCATTTCAATTTTCACTCTAACGATTTCCATTTCATCTTAAGTTTGTAATTCATTATCAAACCAGAAAAAAAGTAGTTCCAGTTAAAAGTGCAAAAATTCCAGTTAAAAGTTTACATTTCAATTTATACAATGAAAAAAATAATTAATGATTTGATCAAAAAAATAATAATTTCATATCGTTTAAAAGACTGAAAAACTCAAAAGTTCCAATTTACTTTTTGGAAATGAAAAAAAGGTATTTTTATCCATTACAACAAATCACTTTAATGATGCAATTTCTATCATTTTAAGAATATAGCACAGTCATTTCTCATCATCTTCAAACTGTTTCTGAATTTTCATATTTTTCAAATGGAAATCAATTTTGCATAAAAGAGCCAAATTTTGTTAAATGTGTAATAATCAATTATAAAATCTTCAATTATCTAAAATTTAAAAAAATAAAATTTTTAATCACCTAAAAAGTAATTGAAGTCTATTTAATTAATGCAATTTGAAATGGAAAAGAAATGATCGAGATATTTTGATCCAGAATATCTATTTTATTCGTATAAAAATGAAGAAGTTCTAAAGATACCTTAATAATAAATCACTTGAAATGCCTGCACTTTCACGTACGGGAATGTCCCGTGAACTTTTGCATTGTGCAAATTTGCTAAAATATTATGCTCCACATTTTGATCAAAACATTCTGTCTAAAAATCGACAAATATTTAATTTCAATGCATTTAGCAAACAATTTTAATGCAAAATTCTATTCATTAAATAATCAAATGAAAATTCCTGAATTAAATTCAGAAAATACTTAAAATATGAATATTTTTAAGCAAATAGTGAATTCTTGCAAAAAAAAAAATAAGCTACTGCAAAATTTAAAATGATTTTTAAAATTTCATATCTTAAAAAATATGAAAAATGTTGAAATTGGACTATTATCCCTTTCATGAACTAATTCGAGAAAGTCATTCATTTTTTAGAATTAAAAATATTTCATCGGAGCTAAAAAAAAAATCTTTTAATCTGTTCTAAATTAACGGTGAATGACTTTTTTAGAATTTTTGATAATACAAGAAATTAATTTTGCAGATAAGTAATTTTTTACCATAAAATATCCAACGAAAAAAATTCAAAATTTATGGTTTGTAAAAAAAAATTTGACAATTTAGCAGAGATTTTTGATTTTCATTTGTTGTTCTCTCTTAATGAATTTGCAAATATTGAAATGCAAGAGATTGCGATAAATTGTGTACCAATTTGCATATTATTGTATAGGTCAGATATTTATAATATTTCGAATTTAAAATTTAAAAACCATACTATGCAAAATTTTTGCTTTATACCTTATTTTGTGGTGCAATTTTGTAGTGGAACCGGAATATGATACCACGTCGCTGTCCAATCATTAGCAACGAAAAGAGCCAAATTATAATGATATCTAATGCCAGGTATATCATTTCCATGTTAATAAAATTTTAGCAACCGGATTGAAAATTTTCATAAACCGGATCCGGTATGTATTGATAGACTAATAGGTGCAATAATTTGATAAAATATTGCTTTAATCTTGCACATAAAATCTTTTTTTTTTGCTTATTTGCGTCTTTTATCTTATCTTCTAACTCATTAGGTTGTAAATGTTAAACAAACTTTTCGAACGGCTTCATTCAATTCAATGAATTTGAAATAAATTTATTACTCGATGACTCATATCCACATATGTCATATCAAAACTGTTGCTCCATCGTGCTCAATACTCGATATGCGAAAGATGCTCTACCACAATCATTACATATGCTCCCAAATACTTGGACAAAATTGAAATTTTTTTTGGTAATCTCCTTTTTGAAATTCTTTTATATAGAAAATGTAAAATTTTTATCACATTTATCGGAAGGATTTAATGATATCAGGAAGTAATTCTTATCAAAAGCTAACAAGCTATCTTTGTTGATAGAATTAAGAAATTTAGCGTTAAATCTTCTTCTTCAGACATAATTTATTGTGTAAATTTTAAGCTCGCAATAATTAAATTTTCTCTATCGATTAAAGAAATCCAATAGATTATTGTTTATTAGAGTCAAGAAGTTAATGAATTATCACAGGTGGAAAGAAGATTGATAAGTTATTAGCTATTATGGGTGAAAGGTTAATAAATTGTTGCCTACTACAGGTAAAAGATCAATTATCATTTCAATGTTTGCAAAATTCTGCACAAATATCGAATTTAGAAAAGTAATTATTTGATCATCAAACATA